CCCACGGTTGTATACCTAGCTGATGCTTTCTCGGCTCTTTCAAATTTCCAGGATTTCGAAGAAGGGCAGTGAGGTAGCTACGCTCGGCGCATTTTTGCCTATCAGCTAGTGACTCTGTAGAACGAGCCTAAAGCGTGACAAATCTGTGGGGGAAAAAATGAATACAGTTTTACGAATACTGGAGCACAAAAGTCACTAAATTACAAGTATGATTACTTTTTGTCAGAAGTAATTCATTATGATTACAAATTGCCCACAAAAGTAACTAAATCGCTGTAACCTGTTAACCAGCACCCTCCGTCATTCCCACTCTTTTGGCCCCCGCGCGGTATGACTCTGGAGGCCCCTTCCCACGTCGATCACCAACCCAGCACCGAATGACCAGGCCTCCATTCGCACGTTCACCAAAAACGTCGCAAGTTACCTGCGGAACAATTGAGTGCATGATTTGTGTAACATTTATGTAGCCGGTGACTCCCCTCCCCCCCCGCCCCCCCCCCCCCCCCCCCCCCCTGTTTTGTATATAATTTCAGGTACTGTAAACCTTCCGGTACGGGCGTAACGCCTGATTCACAGTGACCCAACTCTCCAGAGTTCAATAAAGAAACAAACAAACGAAACAAACAAATTCGATTCCTTCACCACTAAGTTATAAACCCCACCCAAGACTGCGACTGAAGTGCGCGTGCGCAGAAACCAGATCCTCGTGAGCTGAGCTGTATGAGTATGCGCAATGCAAACAGCAGCGTCACCGCGGTGCCATGACGCCAGATAATGGCGATTTCATTTGGATTCAAGCAACCGGGGGTGCAGTCGCTTTTTTTTTTTCATTTTTTTTATATATTTTGTGCCGCATGTTCCAAGAAGAACAATCATTTTTATTTTAATGTCCTGACATGTTCAGTTTCTGAGAAAAAAAATCAGAAAGAAGCGGGAAAGAACGACGAGGTTTGGACGATTCTCGTGTGTTGCGTTTTTTAATCACTCTCAATCTCAAAGCATTAAGAAAAAGAGCGTCTATATTTTTTCTGTGATATATATGCAAGGAGGTAAAACGGCATTATAACTACTATTTATTATTCGTCGCTCCAATCTTTGTAAAAATCCCCAAACATGCCTCCGCGAACAACTGCGACCTAAACAGCGTTTTTTTCTTTTTTTTTTCTTTCTTTTTTTTTGAGTCGGCTTTGTTTATCATTGTCTTTAAAATAATACCACGTGTAGAACCTTTTATTACCTTCCAAATTAAGCAAATTTTGTACCTTTAGCATGTACGAGTACTGAGAAATAAATTATGAAACAGAGAAGGTTTTCATTTTTTTTTTGTACAATTTCAGCACGCTGTATAAAAAAAAAAAAAAAAAATAAACGTTTTTATTTTATTTTTTTTACGTCGCGTTTTTTTTACATTTTCCTTTAGCCAACATACATTTCATTAGAAGTATATGCACTAGTTTTGAGTTTCAAGCCTCTAAATATGCCAAAAAAAGAGCAAATGCCGATGGTGGGTTTATGGGTTCTTATAGCTAGGGTTCGGAGTTTTCGGTTTAAACCGATAAAAACCGATAAAAGTACGCCGAATTCATTTTTGGAAATTCGGTTTTAACCGAAAAAGGTCAGTTTGTAGGTTCAGCGTGTTAGGTTTAAACCGATAAAAGTACGTCTAATCCGTTTTCTAAAATTTGGTTATAGGTTGTTTGCACATGACGTCAATCCGCCATTTTGTTGTTAGTTTGTTTTTTCAAACAAATTTACTACATTGAAGGATTACATCGTAACCGGTTGAAATGATGTCAGCGGTGCTTACGCATTTGAGAAGGCATGCAAATCCTTTAAATCCTCAAGTTTGGCACACGCCAGACAGATCGCAACAACAAAATGGTGGACGAAATTACGTCAGTGAAAACACCCTATAACCAAAAAAGGTTAGTTTCTTAGGGCCGCGTCGAGGTGGGTGGGGGAGGGGGGGGGGGGGGGGGAGAGAGGGTATTGCAAGGTTCGTCATTGTGTGACGTCTTCTTGATTGCCCTCTTCCAAGTTTCAACATGCAACAAAAGAGGTCTTGGATTGGCTTTCGCGGGACATCTGTGTCCTTTCTGTGATCGGGCTTAGTTTTTCAAGTCCCTGTTCTTAAAAAAAGTTCGGGTGTCATGCACTTCAGAAGACACCGAGGAAAGCCGTTGATACCTTCTTGTCACCCTCTCTCAAACTTCCCTGTCGTTAAAAACATAAATACAATAGATTTTGTTTTGCCATTTCACTGGTTGCTGTACGGTCATCACCTCAGACGGTCACGCCGTCAGAATGGGAAGGAAAAAGACGCGTGCTGAAGATTATGCCCGCGAATTCCGCGATTTTGAGGTGTGTCCTGACGGAAGTTGTAGCGAAGGCACGCGTATATATGTGCCGTTATTCTTTGAGTGATCATATGACCCGTGTCCGATGGTGCTTCTTTCATGTTCACCGAAAAAAAACCACTAAACTTTTTTGAGAACGAATATACACCGAAAAAAGTACGCCGAATTTTGAAAACATAAAAACCGAAAACGCGGAACCCTAGTTATAGCTGTATATTTTATTCTTTATTTTAAGAATCTAAGGGACGTTTAATAATGTTGATATAAAAGACATTGATGTATTTAGGCGTATAATAACAAGTTTGCAATTCCATATGTGCTAACTCTATAAAATCGCAACTACCGAAAGCGGGTTTTCAGACAATTTCCGCCGGTGCCATGATCGGAGAAGCGTCAAGCATCTCCAATCATGGCACCCAATGCGCCACACAATCTATGCTATGCTAGAAATGTCAAAGTATAATATTGTAAAACATTAGAGTAAAATACACTTCCTGTTGGAAGCCTAGACTTATAAATGCGAAATTTTATATTTTTAATGCGAAATTCATGTTGATAATACAACAGAATATTTTTTATTTATTTTTTTCACTCTTAATTTTTTGTACGTTTTTATTTTACTCTGCAAACAGCTGGTGGGTTTAAAAAGAAGTAAACATGTTTTTGTTTTTTTCTATATACAGCTGCTGGAACTGAACAAAAAGTGAAAACCTCTGTTCTATAATTTATTTATCAGTACTCGTACACGATTAATACACAGACTTTGCATAATGTGAAAGGCAATGAAAGGTTCTACACGTGGTATTAATTTAAAAAACAATACTAAACAAAGCCGTCTCAAAAAAAATAAAAAATAAAAAAGAAAAAAAAATTCGCAGTGTAGGTTACAGTTGTTCGCGGGTGCATGTTTGGGGATTTTTACAAAGATTGGATCGACAAATAATAAATAGTAGTTGGAATGTCGTTTTACCGAGTTGCATATATATCACAATAAAAAATATAGAAGCTCCCTTTTGAATACTTTGAGATTGAGAGTGATTCAAAAACTCCACACACAACAATCGTCAATTTAATTCATAAACCCACCATCGGCATTTGCTCTTTTTTAGCATATTCAGAGGCTTAAAACTCGTAACCAGTGCATATACCGCTAACGGAATGTATTCTTGCTAAGAGAAGGGTGTGAAGCAAACGCAAAGCGAGAAAAAGAATTTTTTTTTATTATTTTTTTTTAATACAGCATTTTGAAATTGAACAAGTGAAAACCTTCTGTGTTTCATAATTTATTTCTCAGTACTCGTAGATGATAAAGACACACGCTTTGTTTGGTTTGGAAGGCAATGAAAGGCTCTACAGGTGGTATGATTTTCAAAGCAATACTAAACATAGTCAACTCAAAAAAAAAAAAAAAAAAAATCCGCAGTTCTGGTTAGAGTTGTTCGCGGAGGCATGTTTGGGGATTTTTACAAAGATTGGATCGACAAATAATGAATAGTAGTTAGAATGTCGTTTTACCGACTTGCATATATATCATAATAAAAAAAAATAGAGACGCTCTCTTTTGAATACTTTGAGATTGAGAGTGATTCAAAAACGCCACATACGACAATCGTCAAGACCAAGTCGTCCTTTCCCGATTTTTTTAGATTTCTTTTTCTCATAAACTAAATATATCAGGACATTAAAATAGAAAGAATTGTTCTTCTTGGAACGCTTCCTATGTAATGTATAAATTTCAAGGAAAATAAAAAAAATATGACTGCTCCTCGTTGCCTGAATCCAAACGAAACCGCCCATATATAGTTGAGTATAGAATTACCCTTCACAGTAACATTTACTCTAACGTCATTAATTAGAATCGTACATCACTCAAAATATAATAAAAAATAGGAGTAAATCGATTGCTTTGAAGAAATTACTACCCAAGTTCGCCCTGCCGAGGATTCGTTCGCGGCGCCGATTTTGAAAGTGCTTCTGTGTTCGGCTGAGCGTTCAACGCAAACCAAACACGCTTCCCCTGGCGAGTGAAGAGGCAAGCCCAAATTTAACGAATTTCGGGGAGGGGGAGAGAGAACATTTGACTAGAGCGGAGCACGGTCTCTGCTCACCTGTTAAAAAGGGAAAGGTCAAAAAATCAAATCCAGTCCAATCGCCCTTCTAGAAACGCACCTGAAAACAGTCAAGGTGCGTGAACACACGGCATCATCATTCAAATGTATGGCAATTGCGATACAGGAACGTCGACCTACATTCGCATCATAAAAAAAAAAAAAAAATCATACATACAAAACAATGAAATCGTACAATTTTTAGCTTCTCTGTATCGCGCCTTGCTGGCGAGGCGCTTTGAACGTAAAAAGAGTGCTTCTCCGTTTGGCTCCTCTGCCGTGCAGAGAAGCCGTGACTTCTGCCCCGCTGCGCTCCCGGCACGGCGCTCCAAAGGTTTCCCGCCAAACAGGATTTGCCGCCAAGAGGTCAAAGTCGAGCCAAACGGGAGCTTTTGTGTTGGTCTGCGTGCACGCTTACTTTGAATCGTGCCCCGCGTCTTACGAGCGCACAAACTGCTCGCGAAGGAAGCCCGAAGATTTCCTTTTTAATCTCATCTGGCATTTTTCTACGCTTCGGCGTCCCATGTCCGCATAGGTCGTCCATCCGTCGATCCTTCTAGTTCCTCCCGCGCTTCAAGGGTCCAATCGCCGGGTGCCGGCGGGGGAGGGTGCTCGGAAAATGTCAGCCCCGTGAACTTTCCATCCCCGAAGAGCACCCCAAAATCGTGGGGCTAGCAGCGGCGAGCTGCAGCTGCTCCGCCAGCTCCTCGATCCGGTTCGACGTCATCAGTGACGTCACGGATGACGCCAGCGCGCCTGCGACGCCATCTGTAAACGGGAGGAGCTGCTCCTCTCGCGCTCTCCTGCCCCTGCGCCGCCAACGTCCCTCCGAGACATCGTCGACTCCGTGTGACCGTGGTCGTCGCTGGCGGATAAACCCGACGACGATGCGGCGGGGAGCCCGGTGAACATGGGAGGAGGCCGTGCCCGTGTGGCCCAGCAGCGACAGCCGCCGCAGCAGCAGCGGGCCTGAGCCGCGCCGCAACATGTTGCTCAAGGAATATCGGATCCCCCTGCCGCTGTCCGTCGACGAATACAGGGTGGCCCAGCTCTACATGATCGCCGTGAGTGGGCCCCGCGCCTCTCCGAGGCCGCCGCGGCGGCACCTCGCCGTCCCGCTTCTCGCGTCCGAACGACTGCGGGGAGATGGAAGACTGGCGGGCCGAGATCACCGAGATCGCGCCTTAGGTCCATCAAGACGGGGCAGGGTCCGGCTCCTTCGGTGTGGGTACCGGGCTGTCCCTGCGTGCGCCAAAGCGGAGCTGTCAGACGCGGGCACCTGTGCCATTGGCACGGGAAGGGGGGTCTCCGCCCTGCGCGCACATTCGCGCGCTCCTCCGGCCGACGGAGCGTGGCCCTCCCTCTACCTTCGCGTACCTTCACGCTCGTTGACCGCGCGCGCGGCTCGCCGCAGACTCTCTTTCGACGCCGCAGGTACGCGCGGAGGAAGCGATATCGCGATATCTCTCGCGGTCGTCGTAAGATTGCACGCGAGGCAAATGGCCCTGGCAGTATGTAATAGGCCGCCTTCTTATTGTGCGCCGATAGGAATTCCCAGAAATGCGAGCTCTCCTTGGAGGTTTCGGTAACCATCACTCCTTTGCGTCGCGGTGCATCGAGGCCTCTAGGGATAAAGCAGATAAGCTCCTCGCACTGACGAGTTGCGCTAAAAAAAGAAAAAAACCTGGTTTGCGGCGTGAGAGGGAACATCCCGGATTCTGGGAGGCCGCTCCCTCGTAGCGGGAGCTTCTGGTAAACAACGTCTCGCTGATGCTGCCCAGTTGGCTGTCGTGTTTGTTTGCGGGAATCCTGCGGCCTGGTTGAAAGCCGTCTCTTTTTTTGCGAGCCTGTTGGACCACCACGCCGTTTATAGCTCACAGGCAGCGCGGGATAGCCTGTCCCATAAAGCCAGGGCTTCCGAATTCGGTTCCCCCAGTCGTGTTTTTGCTGGCACTTATCCGCGAGGAGCAGTGGCTGTCAGTGAGTGAGCGATGCCGTATTTTTTTTTTTTTTAAACAGACTGCTGAGCAGAAGAGCGGATGTCCGTGTAGTAGAGGATGCTGCCTTTCAATTTGCTAAGTTGTCAGAGGACCGTATTTAGGGGATTTGATTGCGATAAGCTCGGGTACTGATCTTAATCGTGGCTTGCCTCGCCTGCAGCTTCGACAGATGTTTGTACAACATAATTATTCTCTAGTCTTTGCAATGTCAGGTCCCATTATAAACCTCTGGTGACTCCTGAGAGGTTGTGTGAAGTGCTGAAGAAGGCACAGCCTGGATTGTGGGTACTCCTGAACGTGATGTCGAACCCAGTTAAAATAGAGCAGTGCTTTAGTCGTCCTTATGTTTTGCAGTACAAAAGATGTAACAGATTTCTCCGTGTTGACAGCTACCTCTCCCAAATATAAGACTCACTAAGCATCAGCGAAACTCAACTTCAAAATAAGGGTATGCAGAAAGGGAGCAGGCCCTTTTTGTCCATCCTTTTTCGGTGAATTCCCTGAACTTGGCTACAAGAATGCCAAAATGCTGCTTAGGACACTGCCTTTTTGAGCCTGCAGAAACTTCAAAGCTCCATCTTAAGCAGATGTAGTGGGGGCTCTGCTGTGATCATGTTCACTGAGAGTTTTGATCTCTGTGAACATTTTAATAAAAGATTACCTTACCTGCTTCCTTCAAACCCTTCTGCCGGGATCTGGTGCTGTGGCTCCTAGCTATGGCGAGTTCTTTAAAATGTTACTATTGAACTCCGTCAGCAACTCTTAATCACCGCTTGACTCCACAAAGTATCGCTCGACTATAGCTTAATTGTAATCTCTGAGATTGTACTTCAAGTCGCCGGCTTACTGCCTTTGTGCTACTGCTTAGCATTTTAATGTCACAGCCCCACAGCCCTGGATCTTCAAAATGGGAATTGTGAGGTGCAAGATGATTTTGCTTTTACTCTAAACTTCATTTTAGAATAAGAAATAATTATTTGTCAGCTTAGTCCTTGCAATGGTTTGACATGTATCAAGAAGAAAATATTTTATTGGAAATGTGCAGACTAATGGCAAAGCTTTCCTTTAACCAGAGTGTGGTATTTGGAAGGATTCCCATCGGGACGCGGATTCGATGGGGTACGCAAAGTTTGGAAGGTTTCTGTCGCAGATATTTAGCTACAAGGTGGGCCAATCTTTTGAGGTAAGGCACTCATTCTAAATTAAGTTGGGCTTTCTGAAGAGCAGAGATGGTAGTTCAGAGTTATACAACATTTTTGTTTGTTTTGTAAACCGCTTGAAATATTTTGTCCATTTCGGCAATTTTTTTGGGAATGGCATTAAGGCTACATTTAGTCAGTGTTTGACTACTTTTCTTAGGTTTTGGATCCCACACAATTTAATTTTGTTTGACTACTAGTATAACCTAATGAGGTCATCAAAAGATACGGCATTAGACCTGCTATTTTCCTCAGATGTCACTGCCGAGAAGTAGAACCAAGGCTGTCCAACATTCTTTTGCACTCGTTAACACACTCGTAATGATGATAAATTGGCAGTCGCTCCATCTGGGTTTATACCTGTACTCGTAGCAATATACAGACTAACTTTAACAAGGAATGAAATAACTAAATGCATTGTTGCCGTGATTTCACCGCGCACATTTGATAGTATGAGGGAGCTTGTTTCCTGTCGACTTCATGATAAAGGAGTTCAACTGTAGTTAACTTTCTTGCATGGTTGCCAGCCATGATTGTCTTAGTCACAGTACAAGATGCGAGCCTTTTTCGAAGGGTAATTGGAAGCCAAAAGATGGTAGAAGCAAAAATCCCGCCGACGCCTGAGGCTAGCTTGAGTTAATTTTCAGCAATTGGGAGTTTGTTTCTTTGAAGGTACTGAAATTTCTGGATAATTTGAAGGGACCAAGTCAATGTTCAATTTTCAACACCACCTGGGAGTTTATTTATTTAAATATTCTTAGAGCAATGGCACTGAGCTAGGGTATTGAAATTTTAGGGTAATGTAGAGGAACCAAGTCAATGTTCAATTTTCAACATCACCTGGGAGTTTATTTATTTAAATATTCTTAGAGCAATGGCACTGAGGGTATTGAAATTTCAGAATAATGTGAAGGTGTCCACATTTCTACAGGTGTTTTTGAGCTAGCTTGGCTTATTTCATTTTTTTGAAAACAATGAAGACTGTCTTACCTTGCCCTTTTTATAACAAAGCTTTTGGAATTGTGCTAATATTAGAAAACAGAGGAAAAATTGCTCGCTTGTGTCTTTTTCGTGACATTTTGCCGCATCAAATCCATTTTCAAAACAAACTACCTCATACCTGCTCGGTTCACATCTTCCAGGGTTGATTATTCTTGCAAAGTCGAACCAGTTAAGTCACAAACTAACTCGTTTCCGTTTTCCCCATTGGCCCCATCCATGAAGGACTGTAGTAGACTCCTTGAAAACGTTGTCGCTCTTTGACATCAGATATCGTTTAAACTAAATTGTGAAGAGCTTCTTTGTTAACTTGATATTTCCCTGATGACTTTTGTATTTTGAATATTTGCTTTTGATGTGCTTGTTGATGCACTGAGTTGCGAAAAGATATCTGTTTTTCTTGAGTGTTTCATAGTTCATATTATTTAACATCATTATATATCTAGTGTTGACAGCCTCCTTGTTAGCATTATCATATATATATGTATATGTACAGTCAAACCCATTTATAACGAACAGCAGGAAACGTTACGATCAGTTCAATATAGCAAGTAGTTCGATATAGCAAAAACCATTCACAACGAACTTCCATGATGCGTTCGTTGTAAGGCGAGAGCTTCTTTTTCTTTCTAATCTTTTTGCTTCAACCTTGTAACATTGCGCTGGATTTTTTTTTTTTTTTTACATGCGTGCAGATTTTTTTTTTTAGCTTATCTTTTTTCATGGGCAACTGCATTGGGATGAAAAGTTTTTTTGTTTTTTTTTTATGCGTGCGTGGACAGTGTTTTTTAAGCTTTCTCCCCTTCTGAATCACTTCTCTTCTCTCAATTTTGTTCATGGCTTGAGCTTTTGGAATTTTCTTTCTTGCCTACCTTTTTTTTTGGGGGGGAAGGGACAGGCTAGAAGACCACTTGTTTGCACGTTTTTGGAAGCCTTCCCGGGGGGAAAAAGTTGGGTGTAGCCAATGTGCTGTTCGTTATAAAAAGTGCTTTTTAGATGCATTTTTATTTAAATTTTTTATGAGTTCAATATTGACAATAATTCGCTGTACGTGGGTTTGTTCTGAACGGATTTCACTGTATATATCACAACATCTATCACTAGGTATGATTTTGTTTAGATGAATGTTTATTCATCATTACATCTCCAACTTTCTTGTTTTCGCCCCTATGTAATTCATTGCTAGATGCCTTTGAGGTAAAACATAAATTAAATATTGATAAGAACACACAAATACAGAACTCTAAATGGAGTTTCACAACTTAGTCACCATTCATATAAATCTCAAAGAGGCACCACATAGTATTTCTCACAAATTGCGTTGTACCATCCTCAAATGCTGCAATTTTTATAGGTTGGTTTTCTTATTGTATTGTAAATTCCCTCAACGATGCCGTTCTTATCATTCCTTGGTTCTTTATTTTGGACTGGAATCGTCGTGCTGCAGGTGCGGCATCCTCTACACTGATGCTCGGAAACGCAAAATGTCACTACTCTTAACATAACTTACTATTTAGTGCCTCAAGCACACGGTATCTGCTATCTGCTAGGTTTGATTCGGGCCTATACTTGCGTCCAGCACTCTTAATCTACAGATGAGCCAAGGTTACGGAGAACTCTTGCCACGTGCCGCAGCCGGCATAATTCTTCACTTTAGGGCTTTTTCAGACATTTACGCTGCTCGAGTGCGTTGCATTTCCACTTTAGCTCTCAAGACAAGAAAGAGAGCACACTTGCACGCTGGTGCCACCTATTGGAGCTCTGGAAAGACTTCCGATTTGCATATAATTATAGGCCGAAGGTCTTGCAGTATTTGCGGGATCAAGTTCTAAGCCCTAGCTATCTGTGCGAAATAAACACTGACAGCACCGTCATACTTATTTCAGGCAACGGGAGAAAATTGATGAGTAGAAAGTTATAAAAATATATAGTTGTGGCAATAATAATAATCATAATGATGCTTTATCTTGCTCGTGCCCACAAACAACCATATCAGTCTCCCGTGTGGCGCACACTAGAGTAACTGCATATGCTCCGCTTGCGCAGCAGAGTATCGCAGTGGTGTTCCCAGGGCGGCCATGTTGAATCCGAGCTGCACCGCTGGAAGCGACCGTCGCCTCTGCAGAAGACACGGAGGTGCGGATGGCGGGGTTGTGAGGCGACGTGCGGAGCACTGAAGATATGGTGCGGTGACATGCCGTGCACGTGCGCCGTTGTCTCGTCATTTGTCTCCTGTTTCTCTCTACATCCTCGGCAGAACATAGTGGCCAATGAAAACGTCTTCTTTTCGCAAGCTGTATTTGCGTGTTGCTGTCTGGTCTGAGGTGCCCTGATGTGCCAGCCGCGTATCGCTCTGCGGGCGCCGCAGACGCGAGCAACGCGATTGTCCTCCGTGTTGTCTGCTTCCCAGCCTTTACAAATATGTTCTACAGCATCGCTCATGTTATAAAGCTACATGATTACACTCTACCCAGTGGCTACAGATAACGTTCAGTGGCCAAGAAGCCTTCCAGTTCATTAAATTTTAGTGCAGGATGTCTATTTCGCAAATGCAAAGCAGAAAACATATTTTGTCCGAAACTCGGCGCCTGCAAGGTCGTTTTCTCGCATGATGGTTGGATTCATCTCGGCGTACATGACCACTTCTCCGCCAATGTGGTGTTGGCAGCGAAAGGAAGGGTAAAGTGATACTATGGCTCTGCAGGCGGAGCCTATACAGTTACTCTAGTACACACTACACCGACATTCAACACAAAAGTTACCTAGTGTTGAAACCCCAATAACAAGTGTTAGAAAAACAAAACTAAAACAGATACAAGACATGCCTCGGCATGCTCGGAAAGACAACATCTATTTACGCGCCCGTAGATTAAAATGACGAAAAGAGGTAAAATCTTGAAGTTATCTCCATCTACGTTGTTATAATCATTCTGAATTCCCGTTATAGGAAACATAGAGGGCATGTACGTGACAGATAAAAAGTTGAGACATTGAGAAGTGGGTCAGAGGTGTCTGACCGCCCCGTTGCACCGTCTGATGGTGGCGCCGCCCGTGCGTGCACTTGCAGAAGAAGAGCCGCGAAGAGAGCAAGGGGGCCGGCAGCGGGGTGGAGATCCTGGTGAACGAGCCGTACGAAGATGGGCCTGGCGGCTGTGGGCAGTACACCCACAAGATCTACCACGTGGGAAGCCACCTGCCAGGTAAAAAAAGGGGGCATGCCGAAGTTCGTGGGACTGCAGCATGCTGGTGCCACGGAGAAAGCCGTAGTTATTGATGGGGTGACAAGGGCGGGGAGAAGCTTCGGTTGTCTCACCTCCAGCACTCCTATCTTCGATGTCACCTCAAAATCTCATGTGCCTCGAGCGGGCGCACACAGCTGGAGCACTTTGGGAGGCAGGAACGCACGCTGGAGCTGGGTGTTTGGAAGACACTCCCTTTCATTCTTACTCTGTCGGTGACAAAGGCTCGTTCGATTTACTTGCACCTCCTGCACCGGTGTGGAAAGGCGTGGGGCAGCATGCTTCCGTTCGTATCTCAATACACGTATTGGAAGCGCGCTGCCCTACACTTCTCTGCACCGGTGCGGGAGTTGCGGGTAAATAGAACGAGCCGAATGGCTGCGCTACTTCTCGGGTGGTCTGCCCTACTTCCGGGTTTACCATCTCGGTTGCGCTGGTGATGGTCGGTGTCGCATCTATTACCTATTCAATGCCTCCTTACTTTTCCTCTTCGGCAAGATCGCTCTTCGGGTTCTGCAGCATTGCTGAAGTAGGCTTCGGTCGAGCTACTAACGTTTTATGTGGGTGTCCACGCCTCTGCATTCCTAGTAACATTTCGTACGCGTACCTAAACCAAAAGCTGGAGTGGAACCAAAACTTGAGGAGCTGTGTTTTCTCTCGGAGGTGTGTTTTACCATATTCGTTCAAGCATAGGTCGACCCCTACACTAAAGAACTGGTGGGGAAAAATAAGAAACAATTTCGATATTGGTTGACCCCATTTTTTTACGGTGGAGTCGAAGGTAACTTGTAGAAACATTTATTCTACAGTGTGCATAGTCACCTTAGTTAAAACTTGCTCGTTGATCGCACTCGGCTGAAGTGGTGTCAAGTTTTACAAAGCGATGAAGCGTTGCAGGCACTCGCTTCAAGCTTCATCGCTTTGCACCTATACTCTTGCGTCACCTTTTTGCATTCGCGCTTGTGTCAAGCTTCGCTGCTTTGTTCCGGCGTTCTCGGAGGCGTGACTGACTGGGGGAGTATCTCGCTTAGCCCTATGGTGTTCTGAATTTCGCTCTCTACTGTTGAAGGTTGGCATCCTTTTGTCACGATTATAAGTGGACACCTAATATGAAGTAACTTTTTCTGAAAAAAACCCTCATCCTATATTCACTATTCTGAATTTCCAGCATCAGGCATTCAAATTAGAGATCAGGACACAACGCAAGCACATGGTTCTCAAAAACATTTTCAAGTACAACTAAAGCAATTTTTTTTCTGTTGACAAGCAATTCTACTTGCTACTCTTGTGTGATCTCAATTCACATTATCCCACACTTAGAAAAAAAGTAATAAGACAAAAAAGAGCAGAGGTACACAGATATACCTTTTTTGAGATGTCTCCTAGCTTGCATTGTGGGGTTCCCTAGAGATTTATGCACGCCATATGGCTACATGGAGGGAGCACTTTATTCCTCAAGTGTGTGGTCCTACACACTGTGGCGAACTGAAGAAAATAAAGATGGCTTGCAGGGGGCACACTAGATGGGGGGGGGGGGGGGCCAATGCAGCAGTTCGAGCCTGGAGATTGTCACAGTCGGTGATCGTCTTTTAATTCTCCACAACACCAATTCATTGTTCAAAACAAGCGTGTTTTCCCACAAAACCTGTGGGCACTAAGCACGCATAGAAGCCCGTTTTTCGAAGAGGGAAGCATCTGTGCAACCTCCGTCCCGCGGCTAGCACTGCCGCTTTGGTGTGACGTCAGATGGTGAATTGACCTATGGTTGGTGACAGGTTAAGAACCTAGTAGATGCTCTGCTTCAAGTGTGAGCTTAGTCGGTAACAGGTTCTTAACATATCACCGACTATAGCCACTTTGTGAATATGACACAAAACATTCTTATGCATTTTTAATACCTATCTACTTTAGATAAGGCATCCTTGAAGTGGTTGACAAATACGGGATGATAGAAAGGGTAGGGGACACTCTTTTTAGCATTTATGCTGCTCTGTTATTTGCGCGTAAAACCAATGTGGAGCGCAAGTTTGTCGGCTTCTTTTGTAGGGGTTGTGCTGACGTCAGAACGCTGAGCGCTCTGATTGGCTCCGATTGAAGGATAGTGGGTAGACCTTAAAGCATCTTGCTTTGTGGTCTACCCACTACCCTATAATCAAAAGCAATCAGAGCTTGGCGTTTTGACGTCACCACAACCCCTGCAAAAGAAGCAGACAAACTTGCACTCCGCTTAGAACCTACCAGAAAAAGTCTCGTGCCAGAATTGACTCATCCCGAAATTCACAGCATTTAGAAGAGATGTATGGGTGAGGAGGTTGAAGTTTAGGCTGCTACAGATGATGTTGCCTTGCGGAGGCTCATTGCATCATGGCATCCACCTGTTAGAAAGGGCTCAACAATCAACTTCTTCTCTTTTGGTGTGGTGCCCGGTATCGGCTTGAGGGTGATATTTGTGATTTCCTCTGTGATTGAGTTTTGTATGCGAGGTTCACTCTTTGTAGATTGGGTCTGGATTGTTTTCATTCTCAAAAATGTGCCAGAACTTCTCGGTGCAGGGGGCCTTCTGAAATTTCCTACTGGAGCCAATGACGAGATTCAGGTCGTAGTCATAGACTTGTTTATTTTGACACATGCAGAAAGGAAAGTCCCCCAGTCTATGAAGGCCTGTGGCTTTTATAGTAGAAGCGTAAAAAGCAGGCAATATTAAAAAAAAAAAACCTTAATTGTTCAATTAAGTATAAAATATGTGTCTGGTCAGTGGTGTAATTTTGCAGCGTGGGGCACGCTATGGTTTTGCCTGGACAGCATTGGTGCTATATGGTAGAAAAGGGTATTTAGTTGAGAATGTGTGAAACCGGAGTGTAATGCAGCATATGTAGTGCGTTCGATGTTGGAAGCACAAGAGATGGTGCAGTAGACCTGTTGCAAAACGTGCAGCGCCACGACGGCAGGGAATTTTGGGAACCCTCGGTACAGATGACGCGCTTTCTCGATGCGCCCCCGCGACTGCGCACGCGTCCTGGCAGCTACCGCCACCAGCCGTTGCAGCCATCCGCCATCCCGTCCATTCGCCGAGTCGTACGTCGTTGGCGGCGTACGGTATCTGAAGGCATTGCGACAGGTGAACTTATTTGAATATGCTATTCGTCATAACTTACCATCAGTATTGAAGTGTCACCGAATCCATTTAGTTTGCACCACAACCGTGGTAGGTTTTGACCAGGTTCGACAGAGCGTTGGTGCAGCAGACGACAGAGCCGGTACAAAGGAGAGGGATGAGGAAGGGGCAGCCGTTGGCTCGTTGCTCGCCCGACTCGGCTGCTCAAAAGTTGTTGCCGTGGTAACCTGCACCTGCTCGCGTATCCCACGTGGTCACGTGGTAGTGGGAGGAGGGGCATACCGAGGACTCCCATTAGTCGTCGCGCGGCCCGGGCGGGCTTTTGGGATTTTTGCAAAGGGTCTATTGACTTGCCGCTAAGGTAAGAGACAATAAACAGTACCTATGCTTATGAGTTCAAGCTTAGGTTCTGTTTATTTCCCCATACTGTCAGGCTCATTCTAACAAGTAACGTCATCTTCCTTGTCCACAGCGACGTTATACTGATGGACTGCCACACATATACTATTGGACAATGCAATTGTAGTCGCACTTCATGTGAAATGATGTGTTTCTTGCAGCCTGTATAGAGGACTTATCTAAATCGAAATATTATCCCCGGATTGCCGTGTGCTCGCAAGTGGAATTGGCCCCATACAGGGACATACCAACAGTAAGTTCTAGCACTCGGGCATAATATTAGTAGCTGCATTCTTTCATACGTTCCCCTCTTTTTTCGAGACGTTGCCTCTGAGTAGGCCCTAAAAGGGAGTGGTGAGCAATCTCAAGAAACACTGGGTCTCGGCAGCGTCTCTCGTGCCCTAAGGCCAGTCTCCCTTTCCAGGCTGGTTCAAGGCGCTCCTCCCCAAGTCTGCGCTCACGGTGGAGGAGGAGGCGTGGAATGCATACCCTTACACCAAGACCCGGTACACATGCCCCTTCATCGAGCGCTTCTACCTCGAGATTGAGACCAAGTACTTCGGGGACGCCGGAGAGCAGGAAAACGTTTTCGAGCTGGCGGGGCCGGAGCTCCGCAATCGGCAAGTGGGTAAGTCCCGCGCCGACGCTTTGCGGGTGCTTTTCATGCGGTACTGGCCTGCCAGCGGGGGCAGAACCTCTCCTTAGGAGTTCCATCACCTTACTTTTTTATCTTTTAGATATTACGTCACAGTTAATGCCAGTCACTGACACTGAAGTCTCAAGAAGCTTTCTAGACTGCCCAGACTATAGAAGCATTTCAGGCTGTCTCAAATGAGTATCAAAACATCAAATATTGCCCTTAATTTTTTTTTTTTTTGTTCTTTGCAAGGTTAGTTAGTTTCAGTTTTTTGTAATATGTGTTTTACAAAGGTACCTAAAAAATGTTTCTGGGAGTTCAGTATCCTTTTAAAGATCAAGGCAGGGGTGGTTAATACAGAAGAGCAATTTGCACTGCATGCTTTGTATATTAATTGCAAAAGCAATACTTCGCGAAAATTCATATGTTTTCACCACAGTGTACGAAAAAGTGACAGTGATAGCAGTAATGCACCCTTGTACGCATATCCCCTCTTCATTTATTCGATCATACACAACACAGCTGTATGGTCGCAGAACCCACTTTAAACGATCAAACCCGCTTTAAACAAGCCACAAAACTCAGTTTTTAATGTATTGTGCTGTGAGTTACTACAAAGGTGTGGCTAGGTGGTAGAAGTTCGGAGAAAACATATCCACAAATGCGCTTACCTCGTTCAAAAAATAAAATAAGTAAAATAAAACATCTGTTCTGAGCAATTCGTGGTGGCATTCACAACGATGCCATAACGGTGCTTGCTGACTTGTAAGTGTTGCCACAGATGGCTCAGCGTGAAGTATGAGAGGATGTGACTCCTCATTCGATCTGCTCCGTACAAGAATTGGAGGGCTCTGGAAGAGTTAAGTACTCCTTTTTGTATTTAGTTTATTAAAAAAAAAGTTATTGCATTTTGAAAATTTTATATTACAGAGACGCACGCCGTACTGAGGAATCGTAGTATACTTTCAAAACAAGTGTCTGCTAAGCTCGATGCTGGGGCGTCCTCGATGCTTCTGACATCTGTAATATGTTGGGCTGCGCAGATGGTACGCACCATGTGCGAATGTTGTCGTAAATTGCCTGAAACAGGCCCTTCTTTTTTTTTTCCCTCTTGATTGAGGCAATAAACATCAATTTATATTTTAACTCCGAGCTTCCCCCTCACGTCTGCAAATTCTGTCATAAATTGCCTAAAACAGGTTCTTCCTTTTTGTTTCCTCTTGATTGAAGCAATAAACATCAATTTATATTTTAACTCCGAGCTTCCCCCTCACGTCTGCAAATTCTGTCATAAATTGTCTAAAACAGGTTCTTCCTTTTTGTTTCCTCTTGATTGAAGCAATAAACATCAATTTATATTTTCACTCTGCACTTCCACCTCAGCCACACCTCTGTAGTAAATTGCAGCACAATACGTTGAGACACGCAATTTTTGCGGGCCTCCTAAAGTAGGTTCGAAGTGTTAGTGTACATGCTGTATTAGGAAAGAGAACACACTGCGCACATGAGCCAACGCTCCTGCCTAAGATTTAATCGAGGCAGGTTTCATCACAAGTGGTGGGTTTATTTACATCTGATTGTACACACAAACTGAGCTCTACGGGGAGGAATTTGAGAAACAACTCGTTCCCTCAATAGATCTCTTCCCGAATCGAAGTGCCTCTGGTGGCACAGAATGAATTCTGGGTACCAGGTGGCCGTTTAATTTTGGTTTCAGTCTTAGATTTTGTCATGATCATTGTGTCGTGGCGGAACACGCTGCTTGCGTTTTCATTGCTGTGACTTTCTACAAGTGTACAATACTGTAGGCGTTGCCCAGAGATACCGAAAAAAACACTTGGCACTGTTTTTGTGGTACCCGATATGCCGGCTTTTGGGCAAAGGTAGGCAAATGTAGAACAATGAATTGCATTGTCCCCGCTGGTGCCCCTGTCGTGCAAGCACGTTCGCATGCGCGTGAATGAAAGTTACGCAGGCTTGGATGTTCACGTGCTTGGCTGCAGGATTACAGGCAGCGGTAGTCTGCTCGAAACCGAGACTGTGCCACTCCGCTCCACGGCTAACTGATTCCCGGCGTGCAACGTGTGCAGTGTTGGATGGAGAAATTTTTGAAAGTGGCATGTTAGTGACATTGACATCGAAATTTCCGGTGATGATTGTCTGGTGGGGCATCCTCGAGTCTTGCTACTGGGAAGTTTCGAATTGTGAAGTTTTTGATGTCAGAGGGAGTCTTTCTAGGTGAGATGTGCATGGAAAAGATGAGGCATCCTTGAGGGTTTCACAGTGTAGACATCGCCACAATTAAACGTGTGCTAGGAATGGGGTTCAAGACGCGATGCGTCCCCCTACAAACCCACTCCCTTACCCCTCAATCCCAGCCCAGCTACGTTTGCAGGCGCACCCGTGCCTACCATCATTTGGCCGATGGGTGAACTGTTGTGGTTGAATCTGGTAACATGATTTAATGTCTGTTTTGTGCTTGATGCAACGCCGATGCCACAAATGTAGCTGGGAAGTCCCTATAACAGTTATTGCTGTAAAACAAAAAATTGCCAACGACCACTTAAAGTGTGCGATGATTGAGAGCGGTAGCTGCTGCATGTTGAAGGAAATTTGCCGGAAGCCAGTGCACTGTACAATGTTTGCAAAGGGTTTTTTGCTTCCAGTGGAATTAATCTAGGAGACGTGCGTGAGGAGGTGTGTGCCTTGATGGGATTGTGCGAGATGTTGCATGTGTTAGAGAATTGGAGAAAGGCACAGAGGCATGCTTTTTCTTTTGGTTGAATCACTTCCAGAACAGGGGCGCCTGTGACTGCGCCTGCGATGGAAGAAGTGAAAGTGAATGCGAGCTTTTCTATAAGGGTGCGGAAAGCACACAAGAACGGAACCTAGGCGGCAGCAGTGGGGAGGCGAGGGAGCGTATCCGCACAGTGCGACCACGTGGATCTTTTGCAACGGCAGCTTCCAGAGGGGTGTAGGGAGGGGGCAAGGGGAGGGAGAGCGTTGTCGGAAGGTTTGTGGATGTAGCAGGAATGATGGGGGGGGGGGGGGGGGGGCGGTGAGTGCTCTCTCTATGATCACATAGGTTTTTTGGAACGGCGGCAGCCTACAGAAGGGAAGACGGGGGAGGGAGGGGGAGAGTGAGCGAGAAAGAGCCTTGTTGCAGTTGGCGTGTATTTGTGAGGAACGACGGGGAGAGGGAGAGCAGTTCCTCTGCTGTAGAGTGGGGTTTTGCATTTGTACATGAGCATTTTTTTGCTGGGAATGGGCATTAACAGCTAGCACTCTAATACAATTTGAGACTAAGTCAGTGTTACAAACTATGGCGCACCGTGCATTCACGAGGGCGCCCATCAAACCATTCAGCCAATCTTGGCCGCGACACGATCACATGGTCGTGTTGCCGCGGGGTCGATCGGGATCTCGAATTCGGCTCCCGACGCGCCGCCTTCTCTCCTAGCCACTGGAAAGCGCTGCAGGCGCCTCCGTGGCAGGCAAGGAGAAACCTCCTCGCCCATCGATAGATATATACTTGGTGAGGCAGGGAACGAGAGAGCTCTAAGGACTCCGGACGAGACCGAGACGCAGGCACTGGCAGGCAAGTGGGTGGCGACCGGATCTAGGATATCGCGGGACGCGAGGCCTAAGGGCCTTCTTTGTGTTTAGCGTTGGGCTTAACGTGAGTTTGTAAATATTTGTGTAATGTAGCTTGTATTTGTATTTTAGATTGAGTGTTTTGTAGCGTTGTGTGTTATTGTTCCAAGAAACTGGGAGCAGAATCCCGCTCCCGTGAAAGAACCAGGCTGGACTCGGGTTGTTGACGGACCACGTGGGAAACGGCGAATCGGCGGTGGTCCGCGATTTCCGACAAAACTCATAAGGGCGCACGAGGAATGCACCAAAAGACTTTTACTTTTTATACTGTACACACGGAGTAGTCTCGCATTCAGAAGTAGACTCGAGAGTACCAATGGCACGGGGGAGTTTGCTTCACAGATCTACGACCTGCAGGAAAAATTATTGCTTAAATATATTCATACGAGCGGTAATAGCAGTTAGCAGATTTGGGTGATGTAAGCACTCTGAATGGCAACTCTTCGGCTTTACATATTTAGGACTGTTGAATTCTTGAAGATCACTATAAATTTGAAAAGTAGGTTCAGCCGCCGGCGCATGCTTCTGTTTCTCCAAGGGCTGCACTTCGTTCTGCTTTTTCCTTGCCGTAATTAATGTCGAAGTATTAAAATCAGTTGGATGTCCCCATGATTACCGTAATTTCTCGCATACATCCCGCACCTGCTCACAATGGAGGTTTGTGCATCTGCTTTTTTGCCAAACGCACAGCAGAGCTGGGCACAATACTTAAAAAATGTATCTTTGATACCTCAAAAATTGCATTTCCGACACCAACACAAGATACAGAATTGAAATTGATTTGCGACTCAGATGCTGTACACTGCATCGCCAATACTTTGATACGTCACTAAAATCACCAATATTAATATAGCTGGTAATATGATTGGCTGAGTTACGAGATTTATCCATGGTTTCTGTAATATTTAGTGTCTTCAATATAACGGACTGTTTTTGAAGGGGCTCAAACGAATCCAGCCACACAGATTTCTTTAGGCTCCACTGTTGGCGCAGCTGGTTCCTTTAGAACTTTAGCATTGGACTGAAGTCATGGTGACAGATAAATGATCACTTCCATAAGGAGCGTACAGCAAATTGTTTTTCACTAATGTTCCTCATGCGAACCAGTCTATGAGCACTTGACCACCGTAATACTTCGATTCATCGCCCATCCGCAGTCATTGTCCACCCCACTTTTTGGGCGAATATCGATTTTCAAAAAAACACCGAGCAATTGCCTCCTTTACAATACCTGAATGTGGACTCCACGATCCTCGAACATTCATCCTACCTGAATGACGCGGCCGTAATGCTTACAGTTGTAGGACGTCCCTGACAAAGTGAAACGAAGGGGAGAA